TGGTATTTGCACTGATTTTTGTTTATCTGTTTTTATTATAGAATATGGTGGCCTATGTTTGTATGTAAGTGCACTCTTTAATTTGAGTAACTAGAATTGTTGTTGTTTCACTTTGTTCACTACAGTCATCCCATTTTTTGGCCCATTATATTAAAACCTCCATTTAAGAATTTTGCCTGAATGCTTATTGGAATTCCTACATGATAAATTGGTGATATTTTATTGGTGATAAATAGTTGTTATCAACAAGTCACAATCGTATTATTATTATTATTAGGCCTCTTTTGACTCTGGATGACTTTGAACTATGACTGTACTTGCATGTTACAGTTAAACCTCCAGTGAGAAGGTTAAATCCCTTCTTCAACCTAAAAAACTACTGCAGGGTAACTAACACAGTGTCTGTGTATGGATGAGGCCACGACGGTACACTGTATACTGTAGAAGTCTAGTTATAAGCCCCTTAATTTATATGCGCACCCTCAACATTGCAATGCAACATTGTTCTGCAGCAAGTTGTGTCATCCATATTTCTTCACCATGTAGATTTGGCTGTACATTACATGATGACATTACCTCATTAAAATGCTGCTATTTTTTTTTTTTTTTTCAGTGTTCTTTTATGCTTTAGCCCCAGTACCCACTATTATAGCCAAACGGTTTAGTGAAGACTTTTCTTCCAATGGTTCAAAGTAAGTATCAAACAACACGCAGTAGAACCCCACCATATGGCCACCCCATTAGCAGGGCTACCTCGTTATTATGGCCACTCTATTCTGGCCTGAACAAAAGCTCAGTCAGTCATTTTCTTATTTGAAAAAAACCCTTTAATACGGCCACCCCATTAATACAGCCAGATTTTTTGCAGCCCAGTGATGACCAGATTAGCAGGATTCCACTGTCCTGATTGTATAGTAATTTAGAAGCTGAAGTATTTAATTTAATCAAAAACAGCAGCTCTCAAAAATATATCTATTTAAGAATTTTTAGGACTTTATTGTGAAGTAACTGGAAAGACGTTGTAAATTGGCTGGCAAATGTAGTTTGAAGAGTCAACCATCTCCTTGCTCCAACCTGCCAAGGGGTGGCCCTTGATGAATGATGAATGCTTTCTTGACTAGAACTTTATGAAAAGGGCGTAAGTATTGGTATTTCGTTTGTTATCACACAGTAAAATTTGTTTTTTTTTTTTGCTAACAACATTCTCTTTTTTCATCGTAGTGTCATGAAAGAGACTGCAATGTTTTTCACTGCTGGAATTGTGATCTCAGCATTTGGTGAGTTATTATATGTCAAGTTGCTAACTATCAAATGACAATTGTATAACTTTGCATTTAACCTCTTGTAGTTTGGATTTTGCCATGATTTGCTCAGTGAATACATGGTCAAATTAACTTGCATGGTCATGAAGTTATACAGTCTGATGTACATGTACGCTGTACGTTCTACATGCACGAGTTGAGGTCCACTAGCTGAGCATGAAATTTGACAATTAGCACTTGGGGGGATGGATCCATCTGGAAACGTTTGATGGGAGATGGGAGTGGGGTGCAAACTATACCTCAGATGATTTTCAAAATACTATCATTATAATATTATACTGCAATAATATATAAACTATAATTTCTTTTAGGTCTTCCATTGGTTCTTGCACATACTGAAATTGTAAGTACAATAAATTGTAATCCCATACTTTTTTTTTTGGATTAGGATAGAGAAAATGTATAAATTAGTAATCTTTTTGGTGCTTTTTTCATGACATCAATATGAAGCAATAATAACATGAGAATCTAAAGCTGAAAATTGTGTACAGTTATATCATAGAATTATCAGTTGTCAATCCTTAGAGTGTCAAGGGACAATTACAACCCAATAAAAGTGAAAACAACTCACTTTCCAGAATCACTTTCAGAGTATTTACATAATAAGAAAGTGCTGCACTGTAAAGGGTCACACACTACTATTTCATCCACAGATGTAAAAGTTAGAATCACCTTGTACAGTATACTAAACAGTACCACATGAAAGGACTGCTCAATAGCTTTTATTTGAATGGTTACACACTGGGGTTTCATCCACAGACTTTAAAGTTGGAATGACTTTGTACAGTGTAACAGTTAGTACTACATGACAGCGCCACTCAGTCACTATCATTTGAATGGTCAGACAGTGGTGTCTCATACCTTGTTAAAAAATGAACCACCATGTAATTATAAAGCGTAATAAACAGTACCACCATTCAAAGTATATGTCAACTGCTGTTAAATAGTTTTAATTTCATCACTCAAACACATTTTCTAAAAGGTCTACCATTTAGTGAAGCCCCTTTTCTAATTTTTTTTCCTTATATTCCTCAGATAAAATGGGGAGCCTTTGCCTTGGTGTCTTCTGGAAACGTCTTCATCTTCTTTACTATACTGGCATATTTTCTTGTTTTCTCTGGTGAAGATGACTGGGGATTTTGAAGAGAAAAGCTACAGTCTGCAACTTCCATTTCTTCCAGAGGATAATAGTAATTCTAATTCTAATTGTTTTGTACAGTCTTTCTTCTAAATAAGTTTACTGAAATATGCAACTTTTTATAAATTATTAATTCCTGGTGTTTTTGAAGGTATACACTCTACAAGAGTGTGATTATAATTGTGCATTATACATCTAATGTTTTCTGTTCAATGGCAAACATGCAGAGACCAAAGAAAACATGGAACAATTTAATAGTGGACTGAATTACAGTAGAATAAGAATAACTGAGGATGCATTATTAACAACATAGCTGCTAACCTTAGCATAGTTTAACTGTATAACCTGCATAGCAGGC